TCTTAGCAACCCTGTCTGGCAGTTCTGTCAATCCAGGATCATCTCAAATGCCACCTCCTCCATAACATTTCTTCCTTGTGAACTTTTTTTCTCTGACAAAGGTTTCTTGAAGGTAGAAACTACATCTTACACATTATGAATTACAGATGTCTCTAGCTTTTCCCCCTCCTTTCTGAGTGTAAAGTTATTGCAAGGAAGTGCTAACCCACCAAGGGACTACATTGGCCAATATATTGCACATCCTGGTATGCCCAAGTAACTTGTTCTTACTGGTTGAATGTAAGTAGAAGTGACAGGTGTTGCTTCTGGTCTGGGCGTTTCAACAAGCAGGTATGCCTTCTTCACTCTTTCACCTCTTGGGCAGCTTGAGGCAGAAGATTCTGCCAAGTAGAAGAGTACAGCAGGAACTCAAGATAGAAGGAGCCTGAATCCCTGGATCATCAGGTGGAAGAAAGTTGCCTGCTGACCTGGAACAGCGTCACTGAGCTGGTAAGTAAGCGAGAAATTAACTTTCATTGAGTTTGAAGCCACTGAAATCTGATGTCTTCTTTCTTAGAGTTAGAGCCATTTCCCTGACTAATACAGGTTGATATCCTTTTAGTAACTGGCTCATTTCATTTCATATAGCAGGAGCTCAAAAAGTATTTGTTAAACTAAAGTGGAAATTCAAAGACAGACACAAAGAAGTATAAATTAGGTTACACTGTTGGAACATTGTCTGAGGTATCTGATGACACTAAAATGCTTTTCCAACCCTATTTTCTTAAAAAATATCCCCCCCTCACCCCAAGTAATTTGTTTTACATGATAAGTACTTACACTTTGAAATCAGTTGTCACTCTATTCTTGGCAAAGAGAAAATAAGATGTTCTGAGAACTGATGGTCATTCTGGGTGAATGTGGATGCCAAGTTTTCTTCTAGTTATATGAGACAGATGGCATAACTGTGACAAATGATGACAAGATGAAAGATATTCCTCTTTGTCAGATAATTGGGTCAGATTTCCAAATAAGACATAAGTAGGGGATAGAGAGCTTTGGCCAATAGCACTTTCATTCACATTCCAATTAGACTTTCATTGCAAAATGATGATATTATTGCTGGTATTATTTCTGAGGTTGAGCTAAGTCATACAAAAGGGAGATATCTATTAGCTCTGCTCAAAATGTCAAGACAAAACAAGATTGAGTCATTAGCCCTTCAAATCAACGTTAGTTTAATTCAGCATGGTTGGATATTGCATTAGAAAACCAGAGTGTAAAGCTTGAAGAGTAAGAGGAAAGTGATAAGGTAACCAGAAATTTGGCATAGGGCTTTTCTCGGAATTACTCTTTAATCTCCTCTCAATGTACCTCATTTTTTCTATTCCTTCACTCATTTTATTTCTCTTCCACCTCAGTAAGTAAGCATTCCCATGGAGACCTATTCCTGTCTCTCTGTTCATGGACATTTTCTTATGATTTATCTTTATGCCTAGATTGTTTGATTTACCTGGCTGGCCTACTGTACCATCAAAACATGAATTTTTTCCCATCATGATTTTTCCCATAAAAACATGGATGAACATGTATACATTTTTTTGGATAATTTTTTCCAAAAAATTTTTTTTTCCCTAAAACAAAAAATTGAACTCATACTTTCTGATAGCAAATGGATTAACTATGATTTAGACTCACTTTGGGAGGGAGGACTATTAGTGGCTCATAAAATCAGTGTACAAATCTTGCATTTTTTCGGTTAAATTTATCCAGAAATATTTTACTCTTTTTGATGCTATTATAAATAAAATAGTTTTCAAAATTTCATTTTAGATTGTTCATTGCTAGTGTATAGAACTACAACTTGCTTTTGTATATTGACCCTTGTATTCTGCAATCTTACTGAACTTATTAGTTCTAATAGGGAAGAGAGAGAGAGAGAGAGAGAGAGAGAGAGAGAGAGAGAGAGAGAGAGAGAGAGAGATAGTCCTTAAAGTTCTCTATCTACAAGATCATGTCATCTGCAAATATAGTTTTACATTTTCCTTTTAAATCTGGATGGCTTTTCTTTTTCTTGCCTTGACTGGAACCTCTAGTACAATATAAAACAGAAGTGGTGAAAGCAGACATCCTTGTTCTGCTCTAAAGGCGAAAGCATTTAGTCTTTGACCACTGAGTATTATGTTACCTGCAGGTTTTTCATAGACGTCCTTCATCAGGTAAAGAAGTTCCCTTCTATCCTAGTTTGTTGGAATTGTTATTTTAATCACATATTTTGTCATATACTTTTTCTGTATGTATTGAGAGGATCATGGTTTTTTTGTCCTTTATTCTATTAACATGGCATATTACATTGATGTATTTTTGGACTTGAAACCAACCTTGCATTCTCAAGATAAATCCCACTAGGTCATGGTGTACAATGCTCATCCCTATACCATGATATTGTCTTAAAAGGTAGAAGTTGGGAGCCTTTGGTAGAGCTGTCCCAAGTGTGTGGTGTAAATGGCCATTTCCTTCATATTCCTGGTACTCAACACGATCAAGGGTGACATCTTTAAGTCAGTTCAATTATTGTCTAGTGTCCTTTTATGTAGCCCAAAGGACTCCATTTACTATTTTTCATAGGGCGGGTCTAGTAATAACAAATTATCTTGGGTTTTGTTTATATTGATTTATTTGAATGTCTTCTCCATTTTTGAAGGCTATTTTGTTGAATGAACAATTCTTTTTTGTTTCAACACTTTGAATATATCATCCCACTAACTACTGGTCTGTATAGTTTCTGATGAGACACCAGTTGTTAATTTCACCAGTGATCACTTGTACCTGATGTGTCATTTTTTCTTTGTTGTTTTCAAGATTCTCTTCTCGTGTTTGGCTTTAGACAATCTGACTATGGTATATTTCAGTCTGGATCTCTTTTGAGTTAATCTCACTTGGAGTTTGTTGAGTTTTTAGGTGTGCAGATTAATCTTTTCTATCAAATTTGGGAAATTTTTTGGCCATTATTTCCTCAAATATTCTTTCTTTCTCCTTATGAGACTCCCATTATACATATGCTGATTAATTTTCATTTCCTTATTAAAATTTTTTAATGTAGGCATAAGTACTCCTACAGGTATATTCCTATAGGTGGAATTGCTATGTTATGGCAATGACATTAAGAATTTTCATAGATATTGCTAATTGCCTTCTCAAAAGATTATAACAAGGCACTGTCATACCAACAATGTATGAGCAAGCCCATTTCTCTTAGAGATCTTTCATTGATTACACTGGAGATTCTTTTTAAATATTAGGTGAGGTGCTTATTTTCAGTCGGGCTATAGTTCTTTAGATGTGTCTTACTGCTTCTCAGAATTTTCCATCACTGCCGTTGTTACTTACTCCCCTAGCTACATCTAGAATTATCCTCAGGAAACATTCATGAAGCAGAAAGAAGTGATGGTCATATTTCCCAATGCTTTTTTGTTCTGTTTCTCATTAAAGGGAAGTCTTTTCATTCTAAATTACCTCTGTCTCAAATGCTAGGCTGAGCTGTGACCCTTCTCTGATCATTCAAGGTCATATGCTGTTTTGCATATGCTGTTTTGTTAACTGCTTTTTCCCACTCAGTGACCTACTGTGAATATTTCTCAGTGTCTTCCACAACACAAATTGTAATGGCTGTATAGTAATTCATAGCTGCAAAAAGAAATGAATTTTAGTCATTTTGTTCATTTCTGATTTTTCCCTATTATGAATAACACTGAAATGATTATTAATAACTTCCAGGAGGGCAGGAGCCCTATTTTGTTCTATGTTGTGTTGTAGCATCTAGCACAGAGTCTGCCTCAGAAAAGACACCAAAAAATGTGTATAGAATGAATAAATGGTTGAATAACAAGCATCTATGTATTTAAACCTTTATTTACAAATTCGATTATTTCCTTTAAAAAATACCCAGAGGAGAAATCGATGGATAGGTAGATGTGTATATTTTTTAAACCCTTGGCCAGGATTTTCAAATTGCATGCAGAAAGATTTTGCCAGTTTACACATTCACATGGTGCATATGGGAAAGCTTGTTTCTCTACCTTGGCCAGCTACTGATTTGTTTAAATCCATGTAGCTGATGTTGAAGAACAGGGTATTATTCTCAACAGGTTTAGTGTACATTTCTTGTAGGACAAGTGATGAACCTTTTAATGTCTTTTGCCATTTGATCCTTTGACCAGCAGAGCTCATCACTTTGGGAAAGAGGGCTAGTCTCTCAGAGTCCTGGGGGCCACCGTCTGGGGCTGCTCAAGGAATGGAAGGCTCTTCTGTGACTGTTATAACCCATCTGCTTCTCAGGCCATCTCACAGGGTCATCCTCATTCGCAAGAAGCAAAGCAGGGAGTGGTACAACGGCACCTTGCTTCTGGCCAGGTTGCCTCTTCCTACACCATGACCCAGGCAATTCAGGCTTATCTTTTGGGTTTTAGGAATTTAAGGGCAGGCTTTTCCCACCAACACCTCCACTGATGTTCACCTTCCTCTAGGCAGAGAGTCTCTAAGCTTCTTTGGTTTTGCGCCCATGTTGGCAAACAATTTTCAAGTATATTTTTACCATATATGTCTATTAACTAATAGGGTCTATGTGGGTACTAAAATATTAATGTATTAAATACATATAAACCTATCAGAAGAAACTCAAACATTTAAAGGGGGAGATTAGAAAGATGAACATAACTGGCAGTTCCGATGTTCCTGGTTGCTCAGTGATATTTCTTTTGGGCTCTCCCACTTTGGAGCCCAGTGCTTTTGGGTATCTGTGGGAAAGTGGGTTGTCTCCTGTCTGAGCAGATAAGTTGTTTACACAATTTTTAGGGAGCCAGACTTCTTCCACCACCGACCAGCGATTCTATGGGGTGCTATTGAAGGGCACGTTAAACTGCGGTTCAGTAAGCTGAAGCCGGTGCCCTCTGACACACACCTTATGCCCGGGCCGAGCCTGGAGAAGCGAGAGTCCTGGCATCCCTGCCCACTCTCCTCATTCTCCGCTGCGTCACAATCGGCGGCTGATTTGCTTGTTCAGAGACTGCCATGACATTTGAGTAAAGGAAAGCACCAGCAGGAGCCTAGCTAGTCAGGACCTCCCCTCTGCGGCTGGATTTGGTATCACAGTGGTCCAATTGGGCAAAATATTTATATGACATCACACTGTGTTAAACATGTGAGGTCTCTATATGGAGAAATATACACTCAAAATGATGTAAAAATTTCACCGAAATAGTAAAAGAAACAAGACATAAATAAAAGTTATGAGGGAATTGCTTTACAGTAAAATTTAACACCAAATGCTTTCATGGAAATAGCTCTCCCTCAGGAAAGAAGAAAACTCCTTGAATAGATTTTAGTGAAAACTTTGAGGGAGAAATATCACCCTGAAGTGCATGCTGTATTTGAAAGGGCGTGGGGTTTTGGAGCCAGACATCTGGACCTGAACTAGCTTTGGGTCCCAAGCTTGCTGTAGGCTAGCAGTGTGACCTTTGACATTGAGATTTTTGGTCTATTAAAAGGGGATAATAATCCCCTTATCTTACAATATTATGAGAATTAAACCAGAGACTGCCCGCCAGCCATTTTTCACACAGTATTTCCTCAATAAATGTTTGTTCACTCCTTCCTCACCTTTTTTTAGGCCATGGGAATTTCTTTCATGACTGCTCATGCCGTAACTTCAAAGTTTGCCTCTTTTTTCTTTCAGCATTCATGATGTAGAACATTCCTCCTAGAGTTGCTTTAACTACCTAAGAAAGGTCTTAAATCTGAAACTTCTATTGAAAAGTTCATGTTCTATTTGGTCATTTTTAAGTCTATAATTCAACCAGATGAGTTTACTTCTGATGAAAGTTAGTGGATATAGCCTCAGATACTTCCGTAATGCAACTGGCATCAGAATTATTTTTGTCATTCACACCCGCTGAAAAAACCTGTT